CACACACACACACACACACACACACACACACACACACACACACACACACACACACACACAGAAACATGGCCTGATATTTATGGGGGCAGTGGGGGGCCAGCAGCACCATTCAGATGGGAGATGGATATATGATGGGGGGACCCCCCCCCCACCATCACTCATGAGGGAGAAAATGCAGGCTAATACTTAAAGGGTACAACATTTAAAGGGTAATCCTCAAAGGAGCGTGTGCAGGGTATGCGTGACACCCAGAGAACGCTAGTTAGTGTTCAAACAACACCATCAGGGCCTGAGCTCCAAGCTATGGTGTTACATTTGTGTCTCACTCCTAAGTGCGCAAGTGGGACTTTCACAAGCAACCTGTCTGCTCCGGCGTACTCGGGCTGTACATTTCCTCAATTCGGCCTGTGCGGGCTCAACGCTGCACAGCGTTACTTTTGTGCCACAATTATTAGCCAATCACAGTTAATTACTGATTGGCCAGTCTCCTCTCCCACCACAACACTTCAGAAGAGATACATTGCACTGTACAGGAGAAGAAACTGTTTTACCTACTGGAAAAAATAAGATGTCAGCTAACTGACATCATTTCAGCTACAGTCTGAAATGGTCAGGGATCAGTTTCCCATTTTGTCCAGTAGGTAAAATAATTTCCACATTTCCATGTACAGTACGATTTATCTCTTCCAATTTCCTCTTCCAAGAGGAGACAGGCCAATCAGAAATGAGCTATTTTGAACCGAGTAGTAATTGTGGCACAAAAGTAACACTGTGCCAAGTTAAGCAAGCGCACAGTGCAGAGCTGGGCGTGCACAGTGCAGAGCTGGGCGTGCACAGTGCAGAGCTGGGCGTGCACAGTGCAGAGCTGGGCGTGCACAGAGCAGAGCTGTTGCTTGTGAAAGTCCCGCTGCATGCTCAGGAATGACGTTCTAATATAATGTCAAACCAAGCCGCTCCATCAGAGTTGCATGTGAGCGTGTGCCAGCTGTCAAGCGCCTTTCCCTTTAATAAGGACCAGCAATTAAATATTTAATGTGAAAACCCACGCGTGACATAATATACTGCACAAATTCTATTATGGTGTTCCTCACTGGCATTAAATCTCAACACAGCGGAGACCAAAAACCGTGAGGTTCTCCATTGCTGCTGAGGTCTTTGTAATACCTGCAACCACTGAAAATGTTTTCCTTCTCTAAGATGAGAACGCTGCAGCTTTCACAGGCAAAGATAATTATGAAAATGTAATATACTGCACGTGCATCTTGTATGCAAATAAACCTTTTTCACTGATATGGGCTGGCTTCGTTGCCCTGAATGGGGAGGTTTGCACCAGCCTGCAGAGGCCAACGGGGGGTCAAATTCCGGGTCGAGACCCCAAGGAAAAACCCAAGAGATTGGGTGTCAGACAGATTTCAATTCTAATGAAAAATACATATACCGATTCCATTGGTGTCGATAAGCAAGGAAAACAAAATGAAGAGACTTCTTCCTCTGTTGACAAAAATGGTCACCACAGTAGTATGTAATGTAGTCATAAACCTAAAGATACACAAGCAGGCATCTATGTTGTGACTCATAAGGGCTCCATAACTGAGGGATCCATGCCTGCGCCAGGAAGGTATTAGGTTGGAATCCTATGCCTGGGCTACCAAACATGTCACCCTTAAGAAAGGCCCTGATAAAGGCACGTCATCCTCCTGCGAGTGCTTTGGGGCGTGTGCTGAGCTTGGTCCCACACCGATACCCCCAAAAGGCAGATTACCCACATGTCCAAGGCACCAAAGGAAATTCACTGCGTGAGCTAGAGCTCCGCCCCCCCCAGGCAGCTCGCCAAGGACGGGGAGGCTGAGATGCTGATAAATCACCATCGTATTACCATGGCGTCTTGGCCCTCATGTGCTCAGTATATGGGTTCATTTCCCAGCCTGAGCCATTTTATGATCCAGTAAAGCACAGCTGACAGATGGAAAAGCATTTCTGCTGGGATTCAGCGCCCATCATTTCCCACAAAGCATTGGGCCCAGTCTCGGGGCCCGGGCTCCCCGGCTCGCGGCCGTCTCGGGGCCCGGGCTCCCCGGCACGCGGCCATCCGTGATGGTGCCACATGACAGACACACAGGGTCAAACAAAAGCAGATTAAATCATGGCAAGGGGCTGATGACTAAGTTCTCCTCCAGCGGACTACAGGACGGTGCCCCAGTGGGACCCCAGGAACACAGACAGATAGTTGGCATTACAGTAAAATAACGACAGCAGGAAAAATGGAAAATGCTGATGTGTATGGAGGTTGCAATGACAGGTAGGAGGCGCCATTTACAGTATATTTGGAGGGGGGGGGGGGGTTCCCTTTTGTTCTGCACCAGCATAGATGATGTAAGATGTAGCAAGATAAAAAGCCCATTAGTTGACAGGGGCTATTTGAGGGGGGGTATTTCTAAATAAAAAGTTACAGTGCTTATAGCTTCATGTTGCCACGGAAACTGCTTAACCCATCGGCAATGACCTTATAATACCAACGGCCCATGTTGTGAACGATACGGCGAGGGGAGCATGCATAGATCCAGCATTTTCTACTGTTAGCAGAGTACACAGCAAACCCGGATCGAAATTTATGCCAATGCAGGCAGTTTGGCTGGGCCAGGCACAAAAATGGCAGATATCCGCTATAGGCGTCCATGCTGCATGCGTGACTCACCCTGCTCCCCTCCCTCACCCCCACCCTGACCAGGCAAGGGGGTCCCCATCTCGCCCCCCGGCCCTCAAGGCTGGTTCATACTAATGCGCACAAATGCAACACTCGCATATCCACTCTGCGTATGCATTCACGGAAACATTCATACTTCTCCGGTCAAGCCACGTATTTTGTGCATGCGCGCAAGGTGTTGTTTCCATATTTTTCTTAATGATAATAGTATAAATTATTATATTCCCGGCACATGTACCACAGCAGTGAGGTTTGTTTGTTTCTCTATATTTTACAAATTCCAGTTCACAGGGTTGGCAACATTGGTCAGCTGGCTGGCATGAGATTTTCAAGTCTGCGCTCACATGCACACACATTTACACGCATGTATCAGCTTTACTACCTTGTAAATAGTCTGTAGGGTTTGCAAACTACCCCAATGCTCGTCAAAAGCATCCATGCTGGCGTTTAAAGTGGATGCTAGCGAACTGATCATGCGCAGTGTGTCCAGAGCTGCTCGGACATAAATTTGGAGTGCAGCATGCATTCGTCCACGGAGGCACACAATGACGTCAAACACATCATAAACATTCGGGCGGACACATCCGCTAGTACGCGTGTGGAGAAGTATGAACTAGCCTTTAACAGGGAACAGCAGCGCTGCTATTACACGGAACACGAGCGGACAAAGCTACTGAGCTCATTTCACCGTGAAGTTTCTCCCACAAAGGCCTCTAATGAAAAGCAGCAGTGATACACTGAGTGTGAGCGTCAATTATTCATCATGTTTACTGAAGGGAGAAGCCGCCATGCTGTACTGCATCCTGCTCCTTTTACAGCCACGACACACACACGCGCACTGTTGACATATTCATATCTTTGCGGGGACTCTCCATTCATTACTATGGGCAAACCCCTACCCAGCCCTAAGCCTAACCATAAGGAACCAAACACAATACAAGTCTTCTGGCATTTTTAGTTTTTGGACTGCAGTCACAGATTTTTATAAAATGGAGGTTATTCTTGTGGGGACCGAAAAATAGAAACAGACACATGCAAATGCATATACATGCATACGCAGAGACACACACACACACACACACACACACACATAAATACATACATGCATACGCAGAGACACACACACACACATAAATACATACATGCATACGCAGAGACACACACACACACACATAAATACATACATGCATACACAGAGACACATACTCACACATAAATACATACATGCATACACAGAGACACATACTCACACATAAATACATACATGCATACACAGAGACACATACTCACACGCACACTCAGACGTTTAAGCCCCGTTGACTCTGTGCTGCTCTCTGTCCATGCCCATGTTTCCTGAAAACCTATAAGGCCCCTTGGCTGATAAAAGCTCATTAAAAACATGGTCCCACCCGCCATGGGGCCACAATCCATGGAGGGGCCCTGCAGGACTCAAGGAGGCTGAATCATGGACGGGGATTCTGATGACCCCATTACAAACAGGCTTATTTAATTAAAATTCTGAGTCTGATCTTGTTCCAAGGAGGATCTTGGCTACACATATACAACACTTCTCAGAAAAATACCAAGCCTGCATTTTACACCCAAACGTCCCCCAGCCCCCAAAGTGTCACATTCTGACATCACAGGCTGGGTCATGGACTCGCATCACTTGAGCTGCCATTGATTTCACACACCTCCTGATCGACCTGCAACCCTGGTGCCACAGCTGACGATGTCATACTCATTGTTGTCATCGTCATGCGGGGTTAGAGCACTCACCATGCTCTCCATGTCTGCCGGAGAGCATCCGGACAGCGAGGACTCCATGACGGAGGGCTGGGGTACAGTCGAGCGGTAAGGGGACTCCGCGGAGGAGTCGCCACGGGACGCCTCTCGAAGGGGAGAGGAGCAGCGGCTGGCCTTGGAGAGCTCCCTCCCAGGAGGGAGGCTCCACAGCGTTCTCTCAGAGGCAGGAGAGGCACTCCGGGGGCTCTTAGACGCGGAGGTGGGCTCCTCAACTCCTTCAGCAGGCCAGTCGACCAGCTGGATGCAGCTGAGAGCTCGCCTCCTGCCCTGGCCCCCATCGGGGGACGCCAGGCTGTGAGCATCGAGTAGGTGACAGAGGAAGTAGCCCTTGTGCAGCTGCAGCTCACGCGTGACACGCCGGGCCAGGGCGGCCTGCTCACCATCCGTTGCCCGCACCAGCCTGTTCAGCAGCTGCTCCAGCCGCCTGTAGGCCGCCAGGCCACTGGGGCAGCCCCGCTCGCCGGCGCCCCCTGCATGTCGCCCGGTGAGCTGGCGGGCCAGCTGACGCTGCAGCTGGCGGGCATGCCTGACGGCAACCTCGCGCTCCTTCTCCAGACCGCTGCCGACGGCCCGCAGCTCCTGGTCCTTCTGGCCGAGCAGCTGCCGGATCTCAGCGTCCCTCTCCCTGGCCAGAGTGTCCCGGAGGCGGCGCAGATCTTGCAGCCTCTGCTGCTCGAGGCGCGAGGTCAGGTCGCGCACGGCCTGCTGCCGCTCTGCCTCGGCCGCCTCGCGCAGCCGCCACAGCTCGGCGGTGAAGGCGGCCTGCTGCTTCTCGGCCTTGCGACGCTCTGCCTCGAGGGCGGCCTGCAGCTTCCGGACCTCCCGGCCCGTGTCCCCGCGGAGGCGGCAGCCCGCCTTCTTCGACGAGAGAATAAAAGCATTACCCCAGTCCCGTCTCATTGTTTGATGGGGGGGGGGGGGGGGGGGGCGTCAGCTTTCACAGGATGGCGGTGGGGGCCAAAGGCACATGCAGGATGGTGTGGACAGGGGGGGCTAGCGGCATGCACTGGAAAGGGGATGGCAGAGACAGGACCCTGCTCAGGTTACCCAGAAATTAAAACACACGGCTGACAGTGAGAAAATATGTATGATACCAACGAGCATTTGTGCATTCGAAGCATTTCATGAGTAATAAACGCAGGCAAATATACAGAATAATAAAACACCATAAACATGAAATGAAGCTATCATATTACTAGAATACCTGCATGTTGTTGTTATGCAAGTCCGCGTAAGACATCTACACTGTAGGTATTCTGCAGGTACCTGTGGGTATCTGCCAGTAATCGGGTACGAATCGGCACCCCGGTATCTTACTGTACTAGCTAGAGTATACGCAGGTATCTGCTGGTACTCCAGTATATACCAGTACGTAGGAGTATCTGCTGATAATTGAGGACCTTGTGGTACTCGGGTACATCTACTTATACTCCACTCGGGTATATATCTGAGGTATTCGGGTATCTCCGCTATCTGCACATCCAGCTGAATTACGACCCCCTTTACTTTATTCCCAGTGGGAAGCAGCAATTGGGCCGTTACTTCGCATCTAATACTGAGCTCGGCTGCAATTCCCTAAAGCTTAAAATAAGCAATTTAAAAGGTTTTCAGGAGCAAATCGGCTCGGTACCACATGCATCCCAAACCAGTGGAAATAATCCAGAAACTTCGCAGCTGAAGATGCATCCGGTACCGACTCGGAGGGAGAATGCACTTCGTGTAGATTTTAATAAAAACGTGTTTCATGAATTCGGGTTAAATAAACAGCTTTAAAAACAGAAACAAAATAAAAAGAAAAAAACCGCAAAGAGAAACTTGGGAAGAAGGACATTCAAGCCGCGGCTTTGCTTTGCTCGTACCAACAAGTGTCTTTAAAAGCCCATGCTAGAAACACGAAAATTAAGTGAACAGAGTTCATTTAAACAGCTTTATGGTGAGATTATGACACCGGACTGGACTGGCTTTCAGCCGAAGATTCTCCTTGCGGATGCTTCCTTTATGGCTTAGTCGCTTTTTGTAAACATTCTTAAATGTTAAGCGACGCAAACAATTAAAAACAAAGTATAAACTTACCTTGCACGGCAGTCAGACGGAAAACTTCCCGGTTACCGGAGAGTGCCGTGACAGCCGCATCATCCCCCCGAGGCTTAATAAACTGCGGCGGGGGAGGGGACGCTTATTTACGGCCACGGAGACCGTAAGACCGCCGACGCGGCCCTGCTGCTCCGGACGTGGGAGAGAAAGCGCTGCCGGGGTCAGAGCGCCCCCTAGCGGCCACAATGTGCCGCGTCACCCACCCACTTACCCACTGGGTCCCTCTGAACTCGGCGCTTGGCCTGACAGGTGGCTACCAGGACTTTGCAAGATTAAGAAGAGTTTAGTAGGTGTTACACTGTGTAGAAAAGGTGGTCATGAAAAATAAAGTATAATAGTGGCTGCGAGTGGTAATGAAATGCTCCTTTATCAGCCATTTGCAAAAGTATGACTACAATGGGGTGCTTCTCTTTGCCTGTCCCATCTTGCTCTGTACATGAGCAGCTGAGAGCAAGCTTGGGGCTGACGGTGACAGGTCAGCCGCATGGGACGGCCATGGAGCTGAGGCTCCCTGAAGACCAGCACTGTTCTGCTGATGCTAATGGCCTCAAACTGGCGACCTTCTGATCACAGGAACATAGGCTTAGCCTTCTGAGCCACACACCATCCCATAAGTAAGTAAAATGAAATCACGATTTACAGGCAGGTGCTCATGTCATTCTCTGAACAGAATAAATGGCACAATATTTAATGCTAAAACGAGCCAGCTGCATATTGCACACATATGGCTATCCAGCTCCCGCTCGCCCTACTGAAATACACCAAAGGACACTTTTTAATGCAGTTCATCACAGGCTTTTTAACATCAATATTAATATTTAACATCTGTTCATCCATTTTCTATATTTACTTGTCTTATGCAGCTATGGGCAGAAGGCAGAGAATAACCCAGGACAGTGTGCCAACCCATCACAGTAAAAAGTGCAATATATTTCATATAGTCATTAATGTAATATGAACTATATTTAATATAATAAATTTGGTTTTACCCTTAGGGATCTGGGTCATAGTCTATGCCAGGGGTCGGCAACCCAGTCAAGAAGAAGAGGAACTTTCAGAATTAAAAAAACTATAATTTTACTGGAAACAGAAATTTATTCGAAACAGTTTAGCAAGATTATTATATGATGCAAACAACAAACAACAAAGTGTAAACAAATTCTTTTCAATTCAATTCAATTTTATGTGTATAGTGCATTTTTACAACATTACATTGTCTCAAAGCGCATTACATTATCCCCGCCCAAAGCCCCCAGTGAGCAGCCAGAGGCAACAGCAAGGCAAGGAAAAACTCCTTAAAAGGAAGAAACCTTGGGAGGAACCAGACTCAAAGAGGGAGCCCATCCTCCAGGGGCCGGCAGAGGAAGTAAAATGGGCAAGATGGCAAAGTTCCAATTCACACTGTCCAAATTATAAGATTTGAGTTTCAAAGCGGGGGGCAGGCAGGTGATGGCCGGCAGGTGATGGCAGGCAGGTGAAGGCAGGTAGGTGAAGGCAGGTAGGTGATGGCAGGCAGGTGATGGCCGGCAAGTGATGGCAGGCAGGTGAAGGCAGGTAGGTGATGGCAGGCAGGTGAAGGCAGGCAGGTGAAGGCAGGCAGGTGATGGCTGGCAGGTGATGGCTGGCAGGTGAAGGCAGGCAGGTGATGGCCGGCAGGTGAAGGCAGACAGGTGATGGCTGGCAGGTGATGGCAGGCAGGTGAAGGCAGGCAGGTGAAGCCTGGGAATGCCGTGGTATCTCCCCGGTGGAGCTGGAGGAGGTGGCTGGTGAGAGGGAGGTCTGGGCATCCTGCTTAGGTTGCTGCCCCTATGATAAGCAGCAGTAAATGGAAGGATGGATGGATGGATGGATTTCTCTTTTTAAACTGAATTTTCAAGAAGAAATTCCATTATTAATTCCTGAATTCTTTTTGAAATGATGTACTTATTGAGTGTTTTATGTTGTTTTTGTAAACTCCATTTTAATTTGAACTCTTTGTTGATGGATTAATAGTCCACTTAGAAATTCTTTTTAATAGTTTCTCTCTTTATTGCAGAATTAGTTATTAATAAAATGCTTTATTACTATTTCTGTGACACCTGTGGCCTTCGATATTCCAAGATTGGGGGCATCACAGCTTGGTGACAAGGCTGCCCCATTTCGAAGGCTCCTTCATATGCGATGTCATTACAGGTTCTGAGGCTGTGTTCCAAATGTCCACTCAGCCACTATATAATGCACTAAATAGTGCAATAAGTCTTAAATATGTGTTATTTTGGTTCAGCTGAGCACTAAGTCCCTGGCAGGGAAGACGTAGGAAGTTGCATAAAATGGAATTACTGTTACTCTGGTTATTTTAAATATGAAATGTTATTGTGAAAATTAAATCACAGTAGTAATATACACTACAGTGGCAATCAAAATTAGAGAACAAGAGATGTTTTCGTAATTTACAAAGTCACAGCTAATCAGAATTCAAAGTTATGAATAGAAGACGTGTATTTTAATCATATTTCATCAGAGAAAGTTTTACTACATCAAAAATTAAATGGTTTAATCAAGAAATCCGATGAGGGCATGCAATCAAAATTAGAGAACGATTTTTGGGTATAATCTGAAATATCTCGAAATGTTTGGCAACATTGGTAGGTATTCTGCAAGATGGTGGACCTCTCTAAGGTGAGTGAAACCCTGTGATGGCAGGTCGTTCCGATGAAGGGTGATGGGACAACCCTCTCAACCACTGGAAGAGCAGTTACTTGTTCCAAGAGTTTCACTTCTCAAATATTGAAGCTGTACAATAAAGCGAAGTCATTCTAGTCCCGCGTATGACGAGTGCATAAGTGAAGAGGTGGTGGATTAGAGGCTTCAAGGTGGAGCAGGCTGAGCTGCTGCAGCCCCGCATCGAGCCAAGGAGAGGCGAGAGCATCTTATGTCACCCAGCTGCTCTGTATGTTGAGTTTTAGAAAGAGGCTACGATCACCAACCTGACTTCTTTTCACAGGGTTTTATTCTCCCAGCTGCCTCAGTGAAAGAGAATCTCTTTTTCTCACAATAGATCTGAAGAAAATAATAGCAGTCTGATGTACAAGCAAAGAGCTAGACTTGCAAGATTTAAGGTCAGATCTTCATACCTATCTGTAGCTAAAATGACCTACATTGTGAACCCAAATTGTGAAATTAAGGTCCGAGTCCAGAACTTCACTAAGATTTCTGGTTTGATTTTGAGGTTTTAGTGTCAAATTGACTTGTGTCCGGTGGTCCCAGTCCCAAATGAGAATGGCACAATTCAGTTGGTCTACTGCAGCAAACGACACAAATGACTTGCTGCAGCCAGATGCAGTACATGCAGTACATGCAGTACATGCAGCCACAGCCGGTAGCCCAGCCTCACCCATGGGTGCTGCAGCTGCACTGTCAGTGTCACCATCTGAAGTGATTCCCATTAGGGCCATTTCGCCTATGATGGCAGCTATCTGACCATCCAGAGGTGACACTGACGTGGTGCTTGGGCCGCCCCCTGTGACACCGACATGCTGCCATCCTTTTTTGGTCATTTTCAGATCGGTCCTCTTCTTCCTCACCTCTGCCGCAGTTCTTGTTTCAGGTGTCACAGCATTGACTGCATGTCACCTGTCCTCATGCGGAGTCCTTCTCGTTCTTATTACTTCCAGCAAAACTTCCACCTCATTCTTGGTGAAGTTCCAATTTTCCCTGTTTTTTATTATTATTTATTTATTTATCTGAATTTTTTTTCCCGGAACACCGAGTGCCAGGCCTGTGATTGTGCATTTTAATAGCAGAATGAATAAAGAAATTCATGAAGAAAACTGTGGCATTTGAAGGCCTATCGTATTTTAGTTTATTTTGGTATTAATATTTTTATTCTTAGATTAAGATACACTTATAGCTATGTAAGTGCTGCACATTAACATCTTTAGTAAAGTTGTTATTTCAGTATTTTCAGCATAAAGGATACATATCCAGTGTGTAAGATCATACCCTGAAACACCCACACAATAGACCAGGATTGCTCTGCAAGGAGAAAAAGCATGCAAGTGAGCTTGGAGAAAACACATGAGTCTGTGCAACGGCTGGGGGAGCGCAGTGCGCAGTTGCAGAGGTGCCACAAATATTCGCTTGCTATTGCTAATCACTGGAAGTTTGTTATGGAATCATAGGAGTGCCATAAAAAAGAATAAATCAATCCATCCATCCATCCATTTATTGGAGCCTATCCTAGGGGTCTGAAGCCTATCCTAGGGGGGTCTGGAGCCTATCCTAGGGGTTTGGAGCCTATCCTAGAGGGGTCTGGAGCCTATCCTAGGGGGGTCTGGAGCCTATCCTAGGGTTTTGGAGCCTATCCTAGAGGGGTCTGGAGCCTATCCTAGGGGGGTCTGGAGCCTATCCTAGGGTTTTGGAGCCTATCCTAGAGGGGTCTGGAGCCTATCCTAGGGGTTTGGAGCCTATCCTAGAGGGGTCTGGAGCCTATCATAGGGGTCTGGAGCCTATCCTAGAGAGGTCTAGAGCCTATCCTAGAGGGGTCTGGAGCCTATCCTAGGGGCTACAGGCACAAGGCAGGGGACCTGGTAACCCATGATGCGGCACCAACCCATCGCCTGGTAAAAGAATAAATCTGTAAAACAATAAAGAACGAAATGTTGAGTAAGAAAGTAAAATAAATACAAATAAAAGTAACATTCCATAGTTTCTCAGTACAAAAAGTCTTTTATTTTGTGTTCAAATAGTATGTTCGTATTTATATTAAAAACCATGTTACAAAGAGTTTTATAGAATGGTGTAATGTGACTTTTATAGACTATAACCTATACTGTTTCATTTTTATATTTATATTTGACTTTTGTATTTACAAAATTTTTTGACCGTGCAAATTTATAGATTCGACTATGCAAGTTCATAGATTTCAGTGAATTTTCTTTACTTAAATAGTAATAAATTTATTGGGATAATAAGATTTGAACTGTGGGATCATTTCTAAAAGTTTTCCAAGACAAAGACCAAATGGGCTGGTCTTGGGCATTAAACTCCTAGACTGAAAATTAATCCAATTCCATGCCTGCCCTTCACATTGTTGGTGCAAATGGATTCCCCTGCAGCGCCCCCTGCAGGCTCTCTGTGATACTATGCTCCTGCACATTCCTGCGATTCCGGACCTTCCCATAACCGGTGTTTTGATTTCCAGTTGCCAGCTCTGTCCTACAAGTTTTCTAACATGACAGTATCAGGTGTCATGTGAGTTTTAATGTGTTCCTGTTTCCTGCACTGCGTCTGTGTCTGCGTTTGTCTGCTAAGCCATCGGGTTCTTTTCCGTGCAGCTGAGTGAAGGATCATTACAAATTTCTGTACTTTGAAAAGTTCAGCAAAAGGCTCTTATTGATGCATGAGATTTCATAATATACTAAATAATATATAAAATATATAATATATGAAAATCTGCATTAAAATGACATCATTTTCAAATGCATAAAGCATAACTTCTCCTGCATAAAAGGTTCGGAAAGGAACTGGGGGGTGGATTTCATTTTTACCTGCACTCCCCTTTTAAAGTAGAGAGTGTTGTGTTTTTCCCAGTTCCACCAGCAGGGGATGATTTAGATCAGTACAAAATCTGTCAAAGAGAATAAATGCAGAAAATCAAACACGTTACACCATATTCTGGTTGTTTTGTGTGTGTAGTTTTAGGAATTTTGCCGCTGTGCTCTGTGAGCCACGCAAAGCTCCATCCCATAATTATACTTGCACTGTCTAACAGGCCACTGTCTGCACAGAAGCAGAAAGGGATTAAGATACGCTAAGATGCTGTTTCGTT